ACAGATGCTTAAAGGAAGCTGTTGTGGAACAACAACATCTGCGTGCATTCAACAACAAAATGTACGCCGACTGAAAGATGTTTATGGTAACCGAACTGGGCATTCGTCAAAAAGCGTTTCATAAGAGTAATTGCACATATTGAAATTAGCGGTTCAGTGGATCAAAGGGTGGGTGGTTGGTCTAGCTTGTGAATAGTTAGGTCAAAAATTACCATTCCTTGGAAATGCTTCGTAGTTCTTTTGGAAGACGAAGAAACGCTGCCCAAAGTATTGTTCATGTACAACTCTCTCAGTTGAATGTGTACGTCGTGAAAGAAGCACGCTTCCCAGAACTGTGTATCAAACCAAACGTCGTGATCCTGAATGCACGTATATGCAAACTGCATAACGCCAGTCGAAAGACGCTAAAATCAAATTTCGGTTAACTACATGTCAAGTCTATGACGACTGATGAATGATCACTGTTCATTATATGGCCTGCACATTAAAAGCATTGAAACTAATTTAAACAGTCAGCAAACCTAGACAAACATCTACGCAGCTCGATACCGCAGGTCAGTGTATTCACTACAAAACGTTGTCTTGAACCATATGGCAAAACGTGATTAATGAGAAAATACATGGCAAAACTTTAGAGTTAGTTAGAAAAAATTTGCATTAAATAAGGAAAAAAATTAATAATGCTCGGAGTGAATTGCTGAATACCGAACAATAATATTTGTGCATATGACTGAAACACGAGGCTATATTCCATTTTTCAAGTTAATACTACGGACACATCCGTCATCTGGTTACGCAAGCAGCCGAAGGCATGTGGGACATGGTGATCAACAACAAATGATAAAGGCTATGACGACGCCGTCAAGACCGATAATCACGGAATTCTGTGTCATAATATGGCAATGAGTGCATACAAGTGATGTTAGCATGATTCGCGAAGTGAGGCGGCAGAGTGGAAGGAAATTTTTGACGCTGCATAACAAACAGAAACAGTTTCGAAGGTTACAGCTTGACACAAATCGCACTCTGGTCCTCATGCAAAGTCGCGAAACATCAACTGTCTTAAAATTTCATTAGCTCATTTCGACAGTTTCCGACAAAACCCTCTGGAAAGTATTCTCATTGGTGAAGGTTTAACCGAGTCATGCTAAATCAGCTGCTGACGACAAGCGATCTGAACGGCTTGTCTGAACTGAGACACCGGTACCTAGATTGGCTGGATAAAATGGCCGAAAGAGAAAAAGGAAATTAATTAGTAGTCAAACAGGCAAAACCTTTAAAGATACGAAGCCTTTGGAATCTCAAACGGTAGTCAGTTTACAACAAACAAAATAAATGAAGACGTATTCAAAACTTTATCGCACTGGAACCGGCCACTAGGAAAACGAGGACATTTTAAAACTCAGATCCGGTCACGATGAGGAATATACCCGCAAAAACTTGCAGGGCATAAATCTGAGTCATCACTTCAAATGGTGTTAGTCATTCTTTCATCAACGATGACCGCTTATTCTACCGGGTCGCAAAACTTCCAACGGTCAAAGGTAACAAACCTGGACAATTATACAATCGAAGCACCGCCAACCTAAGACGAGGCTGGCAATATAAACTAAAGCTTTATGTTTATGTAGCACTTATCATTTCCATACACAAGAAAAGGCACTGCTGTCCATGCAATTTCAGCAGAATCTGTTTTGAAGATGGTCGTTAGCGGCAGTAACACCAATTTGATATTAGTCGTTACCATCCACTTTCTATGAGCCTATTAACAGTAGCTGAGAAGGCCTGATTTTAAATGTTTCATCGTCAAAGCGTTTTGGTTAAGTAGTTGATTTATCTGCAAACCTTTACAAAGACTTGGGACAACCGACTCCTTAAATAAAAGTCTGTGAAAGGGCATAATACATCTTAAGCAGTGTGCCCACTTTATCGCATCTTACTGTCCCTGTATTCTACGATAATCTTTCACTCTGATTTAATGTCTGATTTTGCATTGCCGAAATACAAGCAGGGCGAATTTTCTAATTCTCTAACATCTTATTTTCAACGGTTAGCAACAACAGGCAAATGGTGTTCATACTCCTTTGTCGACGACCATATTTCTCTGTCAAACAGTGTTGCCGACAGTGTAAATTTGCATTACCAAAACATGCAATCCCTAATTTATGCTCAACGTCATGAAGAGCTGTCAACGACTAATAAACGGATATAATGGCAGGGTAAAGGACAGCAGATTGCAGATACTACAAACCTACATATAAACTGTGAAGGGCTGTCATGAACTCTGAGGTAACAAACTAATGAAGTTCTAGGAACCGAAATTAACACACTTCTTATTGAAAGTCAGACCGTTCTCACTGTGCAATCGATCTGTGAGCTAATGTGCATATTAATCTCAAAAGACGTTACGCAATTTTCCTTTAGTCTGTCACCGATTCTTTAAGATTTGAATGATGCTTGGCAGATAATATTAGAAATAGGATAGATACGAAAAAAATCAAAATCTTTTCCGTTACTTAGAGGTCATGATTTCGGAATCGCCATAACTTTATGCAAAAAACAGACACAATAATAACATTACACAAAAGGTAGACTCCGCCATGGCCGGTCCAAAGCCCGCATGAGAAAGAAGGAGGGTTGGAGACCGCGGCAAGTCTCCTTAAAATTCAGCCACCTGCCACTCATGGTATTGACGCCTTCAAAAATTATACCGGCTCGGTCGTCGCCCGG